GGGCGCGGGCGGCGGCGGACCCGGGCGGCCTCCCTGCCCGCGGCGGCCCCGCGGACACGGGCGGGCGCGGCGGGTGTTTGGGCTCCGCCTTCCCCAGCGAGCGCCAAAGCTTCGTTCGCGGAGCGCCCTGGGGCGCTTTGCAGGGGTTCCTGGTGGGGCTGCACAAGCGAGCCGCTGATCCGTGAAGTCTGCTCCAATAAACAAGGGAATTGCCCGGTCCTTAGTCTCCTTCCTCACATTGATGAGGAAAAAAAAGTCCGTGCTCCGCTTCGTGAAGTGTTTGGCGGGCTGGTTGTGCAACTGCGCGGGTGTCTCCCTCACGGGTGGGCGCCCACACCCCTGGCAGCACCCTGGGGTGCTGGGGGCAGCTGGGGGGCAACGGGGCTTGCAGAGCCGCCCGGAGGAATCGTCACCACCAGGGCACTGAGCTGCTGGATGTTCCACATTTCCTACTGCTTCGGGTTATTTTGGGGAAAACAAACAAACGTTAAAATTAAACGTTAAAATTAACACCCAACGTTTTCTCTAGCCATGCAAGAAACGTCGAGAGGAAGATGCTTCTGTAAAAACCATCACGAGGTACTTCTCACCATTAGTAAAGCCAGCAGATAAAGTGTTGTCACCACCGAGGCCCAACAATATATTGGGTTATTTTAAAAAGACTTCCCTGACTGAGAGAGCTTCGTCGCCAGTCGTAGCTGGAGAAAATAAAACACAGTTGGAGGGGAATGACAAAGATTGCAACGTACCTTTGAAACTACCTTCAAAGCTGAGGAGGAAAGGGAAGAGAATAAATTTAAATAATCAACTAGGAGAGATGAAGGAATCTGAAAATGATTGTGTAATAGCAATTAATAGTGATGACAGCAGCAGAGAAACAACAGGACCAAGACAAGATGCTAATGATTTTACTGCCACCTCTACTTCAGTTCACCAAAACTGTGCAAAAGAATTAGTAGAAGATGGTCTGCAAAGTGAGAACATCTCAAACAATGTCATGTACAGAAAAAATGCTAAGAAAGTTGGCTCTGAAATAAATGCAGTGAAAAATAGCATAAGAAAATCGAGGAAAAGGAAGCACAAAGTAAATATGGACTTGTCTGAAAGTTTTTCATCTGAAAATCAGATGAATGAAAATCCTAGAAAGGAGCCTAAAGATAAGAAAAAGATGGTATCTCCTAAAATCGAGTGTGAGGTTACTATTAGTGACTCAAGTTTTGAAGCTCAGATGGATGATAAGCCGTCACAGGTAAATGAGAGTGTAATAACTGTGTCATTTGAGGACTTCTTGAAGAGTCAAGGAGAAGATGGTATAGATCATGGTGAAGCAGGCACAAAGCTAACACTGGACAATTCTGTTAGGGCAAATGAAACTGTCAAAACTGATGGCATTAGTGATCCCGAAAAGTGTGAGGAGCAACAGCCCCTGCTTAAAACAGTCACTGTCCTTGCGCAAATTCATTCTGTTCCCCCTAAATTGCCTTCTCTACGTATGGAGCATAAAGCTTCCAGGAAACTAGCTTCCATTTTTTTGAGGCAAAAAGGTTGCGTGGGGGAAAAAGAAAGCAGCCTGCCTCCCTCGGAGAATGAACAAACTGAGCAAACTACTCAGAAAAGAAAATCTAATGTTGTTATTGAGGAAGAGGACTTGGAGTTGGCTGTGCTCGAGACTGCAGGATCAGAATCTTCAAGGTCGAAATGTTCTGCAGAAGAAAGGCATCAGTTTATGAAAGCCTTTCGACAACCACCCTCAGATGTAATAAAAACTGGAGTTAAAAAGGCACCTGGAAAACCAAAACAAACCATTACAAAGCCTTCAAAAGAAGTTATAGAAGGAGGTGCCCTTGCTTCAAATAGGGGATTAGAAAGTGAAATAACAGAAGATTATGTGGACAAGCATTCACCTAGTAGCCCTGAAAACAATAGAACTAAAACCAAAAGAGCTAAAAAGCTTCAGAAAAATGGAAATGGGCAAAAGAAGGCCTTGAAAAGTAAGGAAATAAGTATCTCAAAAACTAATGATCCTAGCAAAGATGCGTGTTCAGAAGCTAATGTTCACACAGAGGACAGTGGCTTAGACGTAAGAGTTTCATCAAGTCCAAAAGTGAATGAGTTAAGGAGGAGTTTAAGAAAAAAGAAAATTGAAACATCCAAAACAGTTACACCAAAAAAAGACAGAATTAAAAATACCCTTTGTGAAAATGAGCTAAGTGATAGTCCTTTACAGACTTCCACACCAAAAGCAAACAAGAAATCCTTGAAGAAAAATAATGTCTATAAGGCTGAGGTGATTACAGTACCATTTGAGGCAAACAGCCCAATAAGGTAATCATTTTGGAATATATTCTGTCTTTTCTTGCAGGTATTTTAGGAGTAAAATATAATAAAATTTGTGGAACACATACTAATGTTGCATGAGTATCAACAATGTTGGATGATAATATGGTGGAACCAGACTTGGCAGTAGAACTGTCCTTGCACCAAAAGGCGAAAAATGATACACCTATAGAAGAGATTTCTTTCTTTCTGTAGCACTGTATTATTTGAAGGCTTTAGGATATGAAATTTTAAGAAACATTTTCCTTGATTAAAAAATAACACAATAACATTTTTCTTTAATTAGAATGAGATTTACACGGATCAATGCAACTAAAAAATTAAATAAAGCTGAAGCAATGAAAAATGAAGAACTTGCAGCCAAAAATATAAAGGTAATCTATGTAACATTGTAAGTGTGTCAGTTACTGTATATATGTAATTGTATTAATGTTCAGTTTTGTGTGATAGTGAAATGAAGTTAATTGGCCTATCCCCTGGTAGGGCTCTCAATTTCTTTTGACAAGTATTTCATTATTCTTGTCTGGATGTTTAGCTTGTTACAGTTTGCTCCTCTTCAGTCTTTCATGTTTTGATATAATGTGCAAATCAGATGCTTTAATGAATATGAAGGATGGTATTAATATATGAAGTGCTTACAGGATATATGGCCATAAATTGCTAGATATTTAACCCATTTTATACTTTGTTCATAGATGAGCTCTACTTCTAAAAATATATCCAAAGCAAAACAGTTGGTCGAAAAAGCAAAGGCCAGACAGCATAATAGAGCCAGGGCTAAGGAAGACTCGATGCCGGTGAGGCGCTCGTCTCGACAGCAGGCTCTTGCTGAAAAGAAAAAGCTACACGACACTGACGTAAGCGCGTGTACTTTTTTTACTGCTTAAATAAGCCACAAAAGTTAGGGGAGTGGAAAAAAAAAAAGTTTCTTGTCCTGCACACGTTTCTGTTAAGGAGTCAAATAAGGTACCTAGAGATTAAAACGCTATGCTAAATAGCAAATAGTAGTGCAAAACTGCCAGACTCGGACTGCAAAGATTGTCCTAATGCAGATCTATAAAACCCAAGTAGTTGTGCTGCGATAGTGAGTGTTTCTCTATTTTATGACAACCTGCATCTCTAGAAGGTGTCTGTCTCACATGTTATTTTGTTCGCTTTTTCTCTAGGAATCGGTAATAATTCTAGATTCAAGCCTGAGTGATATCACTGCTGCAACGCATAGTATGAAGCAGAAACAGAAGAATCTTCGAAACCTCAATGATGTTCTAGGGAAAAAGTCTCAAAATATGAAGGTTACCAAGAACTCAAATGGTAAGTGGATTTTTAGTATTTTCTATTGTGAATTTAAATTCGTGTTTTAAAATGGCCTTACAGTATATTCCTATTTTGTCTTGATAAATAAAATATTCACATAGCCTTTTTATGATATGAATTAGACTGTAGAGGATTTTTTTAATATGTTTCTTTGTGTAGTAGGAGACTACAGAGCGTATTATGATGACAGAAGAAAGTGGAGATGTGTATTGGTGCAATCATAATTCTCTTCCATCCTCCCCTTTTTCTTTTAAGGAAAACCAAGCTGTCCACCTTCATTCCTAGGCAAAAATGTTAAAAAATCTGTGGATGAGCCAATTATAATCTTTGATGAAAGCAGGTCAGTGTTCTAAATTGCAGTTGCTTAATAATTCAAAATATATTTAAGATTGTAAAATTGAGAAACATTAAAATAACCTTGAAATATGTTTATTGAAATGTGCATAAATATTGATGTGTTTATACTGACAAATCAAAAGCTTACAAGCTGCATATCTCTCTTTTTGAAGACTTGCTTCTTTAACTATTATTCTACTATTGTGGATGTTTCAAAACCTAGCTAATGACTAACATAAAACATCCTGAACTTTGTATAAAATACTGAATTAGGAGGATGAATTTCTTTAAAAATCTCTACAAATGCCAAGCTTTAAAATGAAATACGACCTCATTAAAGTTGAATTAATTTTAACAGTTCTCCCAGACTATTTCTTATTTAATGTATAAAGTGAATCTTTCTGAATTCTGCTATACCTCTATGCAGCCGGTAGTTGTATTTACTTTATCCTTAAACTTCTGTTTTCATTAAAGCCAAGATGCATCTGAAAATTCTCAAGATGGAGATCAGTTCAGAGCGAAACGTGAGTTCTTGATGAGTGGTTTGCCAGAGCTACTGAAAAGACAGATTGCGAAGAAGGCAGCGGTGCTGGAAGCTTACTCTGTTGCAAGTTCCTCTTTCAAGACAGTTGTCCATGTGCAGCAGAAAGATGAGTGTAAGCTTTTGTTCATTCATTCATTCATTCAACTTATATAACAGTTTCAAGTAAATCTGTGGGAGATCTGTACAGAAAAGAAGTTGTAAAGCAGAATGTATTATGGAATAATGAATACTTACAAGCTTCCACTATTTATATGCACAACTCTTACACTAAATTGATGTTAGAGTAGTATATACATTTATATGAGTAGGAATACCATATTCTTTATGTGTGATTATATAACTCAGTCTTTCAAGTTCTAATTTGGAGAATAAAGGCCAGGCTAGACTGATTGGGCAGAAACAACTTTTAACAAAGGCCAAATGCTCTTCCAAAGAGCAGCTCATTTTATTCCCTCTAAGTGAGAGAGTTTGCTACAAGCCCATACTACAGGGCATGGTAGAAGGTAGAGCAAGACATAACTGAGGTTATAATTACAAAGCAATCAACAAACAATCCTGGGGAGAACAGCTGCCCTACAGAGAACGAGAGAGGCCACAGGTTGTTATTTAAAGTGAAGAACCTGGGAGCAGCTTACTGGTGAAATAATGTATATACAAGCGTGCAAATTTGTTTTGCTTGTGGGAGGTCAAGTTAGTATAAAAATAGAAAAAGTCAGTGTAATATAAATCAAGCTTGGCTTTGACATGATTAAGCTGTAAATGAAAAAGCATTTATTCCAGTATTAATGTGGGATATTTTGGCTGCCTCTGTTTTGTTAGAAGATTCACTTTTCTTTTAGGTTATCCATTGTGGAAATTGAAATCACCATCGTGTCCTATATTAACTAAACTAAGGAAACTGAATACTGAAGTCACTAATGTCACAAATATCACTATCTCACTTGGTGAATTTTCAACTATGAATACAAAACTATGTGGAAACCCTTCTGCACCTGTGGTTAGTATTTTAAAACTGTTTTTGTTTGTTTGTTTTTGTTTCCATAACAATGAAGAGTAAATTTTTTTTTTGTTACCTATTAGGACTTTTTTAGTTAAAGAAAAAAAAAAAACTGGTTTGATTCAATATCAGCTAGATTTTTTTTGTGATTTGCCCTTTCTGCATCATAACACCAAATGATTTTTTGAGGGCTTTATGTTAGAAGACACCTACCAGTTTTGTCATAAAGTATGAAAAACGGTCATTGCTGGTCAGTATGATTAAATGATTATTCTATATTCTAGTTCTCTAACCAGCGAACAGTTTTTCCTGAAATATTCCGAAAACACTTACTCGATGAGATCATGTTCTCCAACTCCCAATTTCCTGTCAGAAAATACTTCTACAAGCTTCTGAAAAAGCAAGCGGAACAATTGCTTTTTGGAAACAATCTGCAAGGTTAGTAATTTACATAACAAATCCCACTCCCATCAAAACAAACTGTGGTATAAGAAGATGACCTGAAACTTATAGAAATTGGAAATAAACAGGTCCTTCTTTTTAGGTTATTTTGACCAAATTATTTCAAATGTGACTAAAATATATAGCTGTATATAGCTGGATGTAGCTTGAAATTTTAAAAGGATGTTTTCTCTTAGAAAACAACAATAGCACTGTGAAGTCTGAGGTAAATCAAAAGCGCTCTGAGAACTGGAAAGAAGCTAAAAGGAAAAGAAAAGAAACTGAAGACCACAAATCAAAAAGAAGAAAACGAATTGAAGATTCAGTGGCTGAGATGAAATCCAAAGTTGCCAGAAACGTTAGTGCTGCTGTAGGTGGGAAAACAGAAGCAGAGACAGGACTAGCAACATGTGCAGAGGAAAACAAGACCCAGAAGGCAAATGTTGTAAGAGAAGGCGCTGAAGCTTCCTTAGAGCCAAATGTCATTTCAGGTAAGTGTTTCTTGCCTGATTTAAATGTCTTTGTAGTTATTGGTGGTGCTGGACAGTTTCAGGTTCGCTCCAGTGAGTGAACAGAGAAAATGGGGAAATAGGAATAGATTATATAATAAGTGAGCAACATAGAAGTTTTAAAAGATATTCACTATTGTCATTATGACTTTTGTGTCTTTCTAATGAGCGAGCAGTGAAGTGTGCAAGTTCAAGCATAGGAGCTATATAGTAACTATATACTGGATCTTATATGTATCATCTGGTGGCTTTTGTGCTGTTGTTTCCTGCTTTAGTTTTCAAAGTAAATTGATATTTTTTCTGTAGGTGGTGAAAAGGAAGATGTTCTCTGGACAGAAAAGTATCAGCCTCAAGACTCCAGTGAACTTGTAGGGAACAAGAAAGAAATCGAAAAGCTGCACAGGTCAGAAATGCGAGCACAGATCCGTTGTCTTAAATAAGCCCTACTGGGGTATGCTTAAAATGAAACTAACAATTTGATGCTGTGCTTGAATAAGACTTACAGGGTGTGTGTTTGGGGGCCTTTGTTTTGTTTTTTTTCTCTCCAAAAGTTGCCTAAATGAATTGCCAGTTGGTAAGAATGACGTATTGGTCATTGCTTGTGTTGTAGTAATACTTTATAAATGCGTCTGTTTCCAAATAAAAACACACCTGAAATGCTGCATTAGATAACTTCAGTAATTAGCGTCCTTACAATCAGTAAAGCTGATTTTTGTCAAAGTACTGTCTGCTTACTCCACGTGAATGAGAGGTAGCAACTTACCAGTGCTTGTCTGTGCTTCCCTGCAAGTGTCCCCGAGCCCGGCCTCGCTGCTCTGCCTCGGCCACTCACGGTAATTCAGTGCTCAGATCCATCTCATCTGCTCTGCTTCCTGTTGAAGTCCCTGTGTTGCTTTAAGTTATTGTGACCCCTTTGCAGAGCCCTTAATCTCCCTGATCTCCCTGCTAGACAAGGCTTGGCATGAATGACAAAGCGTTCTCTTGCTTGTTACATAATTTGCAAGCTTTCCTACATGTGAACAGATAGAATGGAGAAGAAAGAAAGAATCCTTAAAAAAAAAAAAAAAAAAAAAAAAAAAAACTTTTTTTAATCTGGTGGAATTTGATAAAGTTTGAGAAGGCAAAAGGGTGGATGATCTCTCCTAATTTTACAATATGCTCAGTTTGAACTTGAGTCGCTTTATTGCATAATAGTTTTATTTTTCTGTCCTTTCCTCTTTGTAGTTGGCTAAAAGAATGGAAAAAAAGAGCTGATTGGGAAGAAAAAAGAAATCAGAAAAGGGCAAAGGAGGACAAGGAACATGAAGGTACTGATAGAATAAAATAAAATGCATATATGTTTCTGTTTCTTGTTAATGTTAGTATAAAATAATATCAAGGTAATGGTCCAAAAAATCTTTTTCTTTCTCTTAAATAATTCTGCAGATTCTTTGGACAGTCTTGACTTTAAAGATGATAAATCTGATATTGAGGAAGAGACCAGCCTCTGTAATACTGTTCTGATCACTGGTCCACCAGGAGTGGGGAAAACTGCAGCAGTGTATGCTTGTGCTCAAGAACTTGGTTTTAAGGTCTGTGGAGTCTTTTCAGTGTCATTTTTTAAAATTGTAATTAGCAATATAAAGCAATTGTACAAAAATCTAAATTTTCTTTTATAAATTATATATCGTTACAGATATTTGAAGTTAATGCCTCTTGCCAGCGCAGTGGTAGACAGATACTCTCTCAACTAAAAGAAGCTACTCAGTCTCATCAAGTGGACAAAAAAGGCGTAAATGCACATAAGCCTTGCTTCTTTAACAGCTGTAGCAGTGTCAAGTCACCAAGTAGGTTTCATAGCTATATCTGTCTCCCTTAGAAACTGAATTTCTAAAAGAATTTTTAGACAATAATTCTTTGAAAAAGATGGGAATTTTTTTCTTTATTTTTTGACTACCATAATAATAAATGCTCAGCTGGTTCACACAGCTGCATACCAGATCATTCAATGACTTTCTCAGAATGTCTGACTTCTGTCTTCATCTGTTAAATCTCTAGCAGTAAAGTAAATACTGTGGCAGTTGACTAGACCATGAAACAAAGATTGTTCCCTATTACAGTACAGAGGGAAAAAAAGTAAAATAAGCAGAAGTAGACACGGTAAAACTATACTAAGCTACATACAGGTATTTGCTCTAAATTTGAAGGAGAAATGTCACTCGGAAATTACTTTTAAATCATAAGTTTAATGAAAAACATATCTTGTAGAAAAAATATACTCACCTAAGAAAGCCCTTTCGCCAAGAAGACCTCCACTTTCACCAAGAGGAGCAAAACGAAGCTTACCTCCTAAAACATTGGCCAACTATTTCAAAATTTCTTCTAAACGGAAGAATAATGACGAAATAATACCATCGCAAGAAAAAGTTAAAGGTAGGTATTGCTATTTAATGATCAATTGCCTTCTTTGTGCATATCTGCAAATAAGTGGAAAAATTAGTGGAATTAAGTATACTTATTATACCCTAACAGCCAGTTATGGCTTCTTAAAAATACCTCTGCACTTATCTATGTAGAAAGTGCATCCCATTCCAGTACAGGAGAGTCAACTGGTGCATGGACAAGCAGAGACCGTCAGTATAAAAACTATAAACTCACTTTCATTCTGTCTTGCTTGTTCCAGATGGGGGTGAGATGTTCATTGTGATAGATAGTATATGTGCATACAAAATTACTGCCACAGAATTAAAGGTGCCTTTTTTTTTTTAAGAAGACATCAGAAAACATTATAGGTCACATTTATATTTTACTTTGGTGTAGATTTTCGTAAGTATAAGTAGTTTATACACTAGATGTCTTTTTGAAACCAGTGTTCAGTCTTCCTCTACTGTTAATTTGTTTTGCCATCTGCAGAAAATAATCAGGACTCATGTGAAGAAAAGAAAGATGCTGAAATTAAGTCAGTAAACAAAGAAGTTGAAGGAGGAGAAGACAACAGAAAAAGTGCAACATCTCTCATTCTCTTTGAAGAGGTAAAACCCAGGTGCAATATTGATGTGGGCAATGCATACTTTTTTGTGTTAAAAATAAACACCTAACGCTTTCCTCTGAGGCTTCTAGGCAAATTCAAATGCAAGGCTTCTCAATGTTTTAGAAATGAATTTGGTGCTTAATTACATCATCCTTTTGATATATATTTTTTTAAAATCAGATTTGCACAAATTTATCACTGATCATTATTTTTACAAACATATTTTAAAGATGAAGACACTGACAAGTAGACCTTGCCTGGAGCATGTTTACTATCTTGGCCCACATATATTCAAAAATTTATATTTTTAAAAGCCTTAGTCTGTAGTTCATGGTGTCTGACTGCATTCATAGCTTGTACCCAATGTTGAAACTATTGGTGTTTGGTATTTCTGTTGTGTTTTCTATAGGTAGATATAATATTTGATGAAGATGCAGGGTTTCTCAATGCAATAAAGACATTCATGGCAACTGCAAAGAGGCCTGTAGTTCTTACTACTAATGGTGAGTAGGATTTGTTTCAGTAATTAGACTTTCAAGACAGTAGAGCGTATTTGAATAGAATGATTTAAATAATAATGGTCAAGTGCAGCTCCTGAATGTAAAATGCAATGAATCTGGAAACATAAAAGGAGTTTGTTGGTGTTCAAACAAAGATGCTTCAACTGGCTGCTTTAATGATTAAAGGAAATTAGTTTTGAATGCAACTTCATGGCAATTAACTGATATCTCTTTATGTAGATCCAACATTTAGTTTAATGTTTGATGGCTATTTTGAAGAAATCAACTTTAGAACCCCTTCCTTGGTAAGTCTGTGTTTGAAAATGCATGTACATCCCTAGTGAGTATTTGTCACTTAATCTAAGATGGGAACTTAAGTGTTGACGTAAGTTTATATCCACTTTATACCTATTTTATTGTAAAACTACTTTTTTCATAATCATTTAGTATTTTTATATTTATGAAATAGAATAAACACATCACAACTCAGTTTTCAGTATGAAGTAATTTATTTCTGCTCTTCTACAGAAGTTTTAATATAACTGTAATCCATTTTGATGTACTGTACTAGAAGGAAAAATGTATTCCACAAATTTATACAACTATTTGTGCAGCTTATGTCTGGATGGATAAGATTTGTTTTTCAGCGGTCTTTGTCTTTTGTTCAGGTAAATGCTGCTAGCTATCTGCAAGTGCTGTGTCTGGCTGAAAATCTGCGAACAGATGTGAAAGATTTGGCTGCTTTGTTAACCACCAATAACTGTGATATCAGACAAAGTGTTCTCTTCTTACAATTTTGGATTAGAAGTGGAGGTGGATATTTGAAAGAGAAACATTTGGCACTCCATGGTACGTTGATGTAATTTAAAGGATTAGGTTGTCCATCTTAGCGTGTATTTGGTTAAATCAAATGAGTCTTAGACATGTATGAGTAGTTGATAATTTTAAGATACTTAACACACACAATAATAAATAAATGTTTATTTTAGTTTGGTTTTTCTGTTTCAAAATCTTGTTTTATTTATTTTTATATATATAAAAAAAATATATACATATGTTTGATTTACTTGTTTGATTTACTTTTACATCTAAAGTATGAAAATGATGGATAGTATTTTTATCTTCCATTTCTCTTCTGCCAGAGTGGGGAGCCCGTAGTCAGCTCAGAGTTTGCTGGTTTTTAGTCATCTAATGAGTTATAGCCAAGAAGATAATTGTTGATAACAAGAAATTGAGGCAAAAAAGGGAAAAAAATCAACTATTTTGTGATGCACCTTTTACTTTTCAAGTAAAGCATGTTATCTTTGTGCAGGAGGAGATGAGACAAGTAAGACAGATGAAGTGCTTAATTCTGAAAAAACTACTGATTCCAAGACTGATTCTTCTCAAGCTGATACAGATCTCTGGGAGATTCCGAAATGTGATACAGGCTGTGTGGAAACATTGCTTGGCCTAAAGAATATCTTGTTGCCTTCAGAAGACTTGTTTACATTTCTTCAGGTACTTTTATAGTTGGATAGCAAATACTTTGACTAATTACCATGCATATGTTCAGATAATTGCTGTTATGGATACCATCTTACAAGAAAATGATTTGGGACAAAAAAAAAAGTTGTAGAAATTGATATCCTATAGCGATTAATGCAAAATGGGACAGCTTTCTTCAAGCAAACAGTCCCTTGCCTTATACTCATAAAGCTAAAAAAAGAAGACTTCATGTAATAACACTTTTTTCCAAAAGAAAAACAGAATTTATCAATATTTTTTCCTCACAATTACTATTTTACAGCACAAAATCACAACCATGGATGACTGGAATAAATTGATACGGCTTCTCACAGAATTCCAGATGAAGAAAGTGGATTTTATATATAGTAACCTTGAATTTATTCTTCCGTTGCCAGTGCATTTTCTTCCAAAACAGTCCGAGACCTCTAACCCTATACTACTTGAAAGGACTACTGTAGTTTCTTCAAATAACAAAACTATTAATAGTTCTTGCACTGGGAAAAGCAGCGCTGGAAAAAAGGCTAAAAAGATAAAGAACCAGAAAAGGCTTGATATACTGGATGACAGTGATTTATTTGATACTGGACTCAACTACTCGGCTGAATTTATAACTTTGCCATCAGATACTCCTATATCATGTATTGAGGAAAACAAAGAGGAGTTAAAATTGATGGATAAAGAAGAAAAAACGGAAATTAAAAGAAAAACAAGTGAGAAGAGCTGTGCGGTTGTCTTTCAGTGTCTGAATTCACTGACTGAATTTGTGGAGAACATGTCATTTTTAGATTGCTGTATAAACACTAATACCAAGGAACCACTGGAGTTTTCTAAAGATGAAGGGTTTAATTGGACAAATGGCAAAATCAAAAATGGTCTTTCGGATGAATTCAGTGTAGAAAATACTGATTGGTGGTGTTTCCAGAGCTGTAGTGAACTCAAGGCAACTATTGAAGCTCTCAGTTTTTACAAATGTTCTCATAATATTTCAAAAGACTTGGAGGCCTCTTTGGGTGCCAGTAAAACACCCAAAAGTGAGGAGCTTGATGGACTTGTGTTACCTCTTTCAAACACGAGAAATCATGTGTCCTTCAGCCAGGCAGCTGATTCAAGGTAAGACCTTGCTGTTATTTCCTGGAATTCAGTACAGCTCCTTGTGTAGGGAACAGCGAGTTTCGGATACTACATGTCCACATTCATGCCACTGTGAATGTTTTTGTTACATCTCAGAACACTGAAAAACATGGTTTAGCAGCATTAAAGTGATCTGTTTGGCAAAATGGGTCTGACTGAGCAAGCATATGACCAAGTTCAGCCAATATGTTACGAGTAAAACCTTGCCCTCGGCGCCTACGCTGCAGTGCATTGGTTGGGTTTTGCCATTGAGGCAAATACGAGTCACGCTTTTAAAGACAACAGATGCTTTGGGGGACCTCGTCTGACAGATACACTAGAGCTTACATACGTAAGGACTCAATGGTAAAGATTAGTCTCTGTAATTAAGCTCAGAGAGCTGAAGGAACCAATGACCGTCCCTAATGTTTCTGTCCCCAACCTGCAGCCTTTGTGATGCTGTATAACAGCGTGCAGTAAGTCTTGGGTGTCTAGTACAGTGCAAAGATTTTGGCACATCTGTGTCTCCTAACAGAGTTTTAAGGAAGTGGATTTGATATTAAGGATATAAAATGTTTTAAATGTTCTTGAACAAGAAACAATAAGAATTCCTTCTCCATTTTAGCATTCACAAGAAAGCACAGAAGAGGCAGGAAGTCATCAGAACTGTGTTTTCCAGAACGCCTTTAAACCTGGGTAATAAACAAGCCAGCATAGTCGAATATCTCCCAACTCTTCGCAATATCTGTAGGTCTGAGAAGCTTAAAGAGCAAGGAAAAACTAAAAGAAGGTAGGTCTTGTTTTTCCCTAAATGCTACAGAGTGGTTAAGAATTATAGTAAAATAAAATACTTTTGAAAAGAAAGATGAATATTTGCTTCTCTAAGCACTGAGAATCTTGCCTAGAATTTGGAAATATCTTTATCTTCCTGTATTTACTGTGGCTTTTCTTTTTTAGGTTCTTGCATTATCTTGAAGGAATTCATCTTGAAATATCCAGACAAACAATAAACAGCCTGTCTTTTGAATTCCCTTGAAATGGCTAAGAGCAGGATTACTCTGTGTGAATGATTCTGATAGTGGTACCTCACCATAGCTTGAGTTTCTTTTTCTTTTCTCACACATTATTGTATATTCAGAGCTGTTTGTATATTAAATTTCTATAAATATTTAAAATAATGTATATACCTGCTGTCATGATACTGCTTTTCACAGCTGAAATGTGGTTTTTGGTGCTTGTCCAGTGTGTTTAGAGTACTAAATGCACAGACTAATCAGGACTACTTCATATTTGTGTCATGTGGCAAGAAGTGCTTCTGTGATGAGCGGCTGGCACAACTTTCCTTATAAGCTTATTTTTCCAGGGAAACCGCTTCACTATGATAGACCTTCTGAATTTGCACGTAAGTGCTGAATAACCAGTATAAGAGGATAAGAAGAATGTCAACTTCTAAAACCAAGTCTTGTTTCACTGTAACAACGGGGTAACAGTCACTGCAAAGCGTGTGCCTTAATGTACATACACTTGTATACAGTGGTTTCAGTTCATTCACTGTTTACAGCTGTCAGACTTTCATATTAATTGGTTAAAGTAGTAGGGAAATGATGACTTCAGCTCAAGAGGGACTCAAACATTAGCCAAGATTTTGTAAATAACAATTTTACCAGTGTTACTTTGCATTCAGTAATATTTAATTACTTCTAATCTTGTATATTCTATTTTTATACTGCATTTTGCATTTCACAAGACTTCGATCTGACTATTTGTGATCGAAGCTGTTTTTATATAAATAAATTTGTGAGATTTTGCTATAATTCTGAATATTTCTGATGTATAAAGACTTTTAAAATATTTTTCAGTCCATAAAAACTATTTTAAATATTTTTTCTTTTTAACTGGAACTACTTAACCATTTGCTTTATGATCTTGGTTACAATTGGACTGTTCTTTCTCAAACTGAGTATGAGATGGAATGGGGCCATGCAGAGGCACAGCAATTCCCTTGTGCTTCTGTAATAATAAGGGAGGTCATTTTCTAGTAACCTCTGTTCTCATTTTTTTGTATTCTTTATATCTTAAAAGATGTTCAGAATGAATGAAAAAATATTTATGAACAGCAGTAAATTATTTTAAGCTTTTGCATAGTAGATAGTTTTCTTTGTAGCTTTGTCTTTCAATAGCCCACATGCCCAGTGAGAGTGAACTAAAGTGATGGCGATTAAATCTGCACAAATTTATATAGTGGTCTAAGTGATTCCTGTACAGTTTTGTTTTTTTAAGTGAAAATAAAAACTACTTCTATACTCCTTTTTAAAGGCAATCTTAATCTAGCTAGGTTATAAGGGAGAGTGACCTAATACTTCATACTTCTACAGCTGGTTTCCTCTCTGTTAGAAAGTATGTAGATAATGTAAACACAAAGTAGAAAGCAGGGGGAGGCAAGTTGATTCCTTTCAGAGCCCATTCTGTGGTTCTAAAGAGTTTTGCATGAGAATTTCTTCTCTTTTCTCCGTAGCCTCTCCCAGGCATGGTGCTGGCAAGCACCCGACTGCAAGGTACGGCAGAAGCGAGTGTTTCACTTCCTCAGGATAAGATAGGAGCAACTCTTCATTTCTGTGCAATGAGAATGAACATGCACTTTATCTTTTACTTAAGCAGTCCATTTGTCATTTGTCAATTTAAGATAAAGTTCATCAGGACCAGGAATTGAAAAAAAAAAAAATAAAAAACTCAGACTCCTGGGACTGAGCAAAGTACCTGGAAAGGAAAGAAAATCTATGCTTGAGCCCTAGCTCAACAAAAACATTTAGTGAAGCTTCTCCCCCTTGCAAAATAGCTATTATCATACACATTACATTTTATGGGGAGGGCAAGAACAGCACATGTTAAACGAGCAAAGCAGCCTCTGGCACGGGACAATTAAGGACACCTTAGAGGCCGGTATACAATGGGTAAGAGCAGAAAGATGCACTTTGATACAGAGGTTTGAACAATGTTCTATCCCAAGCTCTGCTGCTGCTCTGTAACTTCCTCTCCTGTCTTTACCAGAGGCAGAGGGTCATTATTTCTTACACCATGTTCTTCCTTTTGTGGCTTGACCCTATTCTGGTTTTTGTCAGCCCCAAACTGGCAGCTGCTTTTGATCAAAGGGAGCCCGGGCCATTTTACAGCAACACAACCACCCTCCCCCGTGCTCCTTTTTGCCTAAAATGAAAGTTTTAACTAAAACCCCCTCTGTACCATTTTGTACATCGTCAGGCCCTTGGAGAGGTCGGTACACGCTGCCTCCTACGTGCCCAGCGCGGGGCTGCCGGCCCGGAGCACCGGCGGCGGCGGAACCTCCGTCCCGCCTTCCCGCAGCGCGCGGGCGGCGCCGCCGCTTCCCGCGCTCGAGCCGGGGCCGTTACGGGCCGGGCCGGGCTGCGGCACCGCCAGGGGGCGGCCCCGGGGGCCGGCAGCGGGAGCGGGTCCTTCCCCTCCCCGTCCCGCCGCTCGCTCCGGTTCCTCATTTCCCGGCCGGCCATGGTGATGATGGTGATGATGATGATGGAGCGAGACCGCAACAAGTCGCTGCTGCTGGAGCTGCTGCGGGCGCCGGGCAACGAGCGCTGCGCGGACTGCGGCGCGCCCGGTAGGGCCGGGCCCGGGAGCGGGGCAGGCGCCGCCCGCGCCCGCGGGGGCTCCGCGCGGGTCCCGCCGCCAGGAGCCCCGCGCAGGGAGGTGCTGGCGCGGGAGCCGCTTCCCCGGGGCTGGGGGAGCAGAGCCCGCGGGAAACCGCGGAGCGGCTGCGGAACCCACGGGGAACCCGCGGAGGGGCTGTGGAGACCACGGGAAAAACGGTGGAGGGGCTGCGGAGCCCGCGGGAAACCCGCGGAGGGGCTATGGAGCCCACGGGAAACCCGCGGAGGGGCTATGGAGCCCGCGCTGTGCGGCCGTTGCCGCTGCGTGTGCGGGATGCGATAAGGGGAGGTGGTGGAAGGTCCCACTCAGGAACCTGCTGCGGCTCCGTGGGGTGGTTTTGGGGCCGCCATGCAAGCGGGCGCTGTCCCGGCTCCGGAGGAGGGTTGTTCTCCTTGGGTTCCTTGGCGTCGCTGTCAGGCTGCTGGCACAGGCTCGTTAATTTTCAACAGATGTGCAGACAAACGCGAGGAACCCGGGGCGCAGGGCTGCGCTCGGTGCTGCTGGAAGCCAGCGCCAGGTCTGCATGCGCCGAGGTGACAGCTTGAAGTGCAGGGGCTGCCTTGGCTGCTGGGCCCAGGCTGAGCAGCGCTCCTGCTCTTTGTCCTTGACGGTGGCTGTGCCTTGCCCCATGTGTTACCATTTTCTTTGTGCTTCTGTCTAGATACAGAGTGGACTTCCTACAGACTTGGAATATTCATTTGTCTGAATTGCTCCGGGATCCATCGCAATCTTCCTCAAATCAGCAGGGTCAAATCCATTTGGCTTGACTTCTGGGAGAACGATCTTATCGAGGTACAGGAGATTTAAGCAAGATTTTGCTTTTTTTCCTCCACCTTTCAGCATAGTCTTCTCTGTCTCCCCATTCACCTGCCATCCCCATGGACAGAGGAGCAGAGCTGCCAGGGACAAGTTAACTCCAAGGGGAGTAGGGAGAATTTAGGTGCTACTTGCTCGTTGCTTTTCTGGTTTGTGTAGCACATGGTAACGACACGTTGTGGTTTGCAAGGCTGCAGGTACTTTCAGAGGGCGCCTACTGTTTAGTAAGCAAAACACCCTTCTTAAGTGTCCGTTCAGCCTCTCATCCTTCTCCCAAGTTGTGTTTCTTTGTATGACCTGCAGTTTAGGGCTAAAGGAGATGATATAGGGAGATCACAAACAAATATATTTTCTCCTCGTTTTCTTTTGTTCTTTTAATCATCAACCACAGTCTTGTGATCCTTTCTGTCTGGTTCAGGACTACAAACAGATATTAAAAGGGCCATCCGCCTAAAAAGTACAATCTGTAAGTGCCAAAACTATATAAACTTATGCAAACATACACAGAGGGCTATGGCAGGACTGAGCAAAAAGTGCAGAGCTCCCTTTGATCCGATTTTCATTTTATGTTAATGATGCAATTTTGATTTTGGAGTGGTCTACCTAATGGAAACTTCTTTTATATTTCAGTTTATGAAAAGTCATGGGAACCTTCATGCCAAAGCTAAATATGAGGCAAAAGTCCCTCCCTACTACTACATCCCTCAGTCCAAAGACTGCTTGTAAGTTGCTGGTTTATTCAGTACTACAGAGCTACCGAATTCCTGAAATCCTGAATCTGCAAAAAATGAATTTGAGGCAAATCAGCTTTATCCATGTTTTCTTCTTTCAGGGTTTTAAGAGAACAATGGATTAGAGCTAAATATGAGCGTGAGGAATTTGTTGCCACCCAGGTCTTTCATGATCCTTGTTCTGCAGGTAAAAGTTAAAGTTGTGAGGGAAAAGGTGTTACCCATAGGGCCAGCACCACAGTGCTCTGTTTGAAGGTGTTTGAGGATGGCTTGCAGTATTTGAGCTGCTGGATGTGCAGGCCCTGCTTCTGAGTCTATAACCGTGGGAAGCTCCCAAAGAAGGCACTTTACATGAGTGCAGGGAGCGTTTAGCTCACGTGTGTGATCTTACAATTCTTTGGCTTGCCACTGATTTTTCTGCATTTGAGGTGAAAATTTTCAAATGGGGGAAAAAAAGTCTAGAAACTCTCTGACGTGTGTCTTGGTCGAGTCTGCAGGCAGCCGTGAGGGATTCCTCTGGAAGCGAGGACGGGACAGCAGGCAGTTCCAGAAGAGGCGGTTTATTCTGTCAGCAGGGGAAGGGATCATGAAGTACTACACCAAAGAGGTGAGTCCTTGGCCAGAGCTGGCTGGGCCTGAAGCCGCCAACATCCAGCTGCAAACCTAGCAATAACAGCACTGGTAGCGTCGGCTCTGCCCGCCTGTTTGGAGCTGCCCAGGCACCTCCCCGCTGACATCTGTGGTATCTCAGGCAGTTGCTCGTTTGGGTGTAGCCCTTTTCCTTATCCCTTAGCCCCAAAACTGCCTCCTTGTTCAGTGAGTGAAGGAAAGGGATACTGGAAGCTGAATGGCAAGGTAGAAGAGATGTCTGTTGGCAGCTGTTACTTCTAACGTTACCGAAATATTCTTCCAGCAACTTCTGTCATTATCATCTCCGAGGTGTCTCTTTTCCACGGGAGAGGGTTGTTACTTGCTCTGCAACTGTAAGGCTGGAGAGAGAATCCATTCTTTCCTGTTCAGAAACATCCTTCTCAAACAGCCACCCAGCACTGTTAGGGAAAGGGAGTCATTCTTATAAGTAATTTTATGTGACACAAGTAATCAAGGCTTCATATATCAGGCATATCTGATATGCAGATAGTTTGGGATGCCACCTTTCTGCTCAGTAGGGATCTAATTCTCATGCAGTTCATCTGTGGTCCACTGTCTGCCCTAAGAGTACTTTAATAAACTGTGTTTTTCATTTCACAGTGTAAAAGTCCAAAAGCTGTTATCAGCATTGAGACACTGAATGCGATGTTCCAGACAGAGAAAATGAAACATGCTCATGGGCTGCAGATCACGTTCAACACAGATGGTCAAATACGGAACCTTTTTGTCTATCATGAAAGTGGAAAGGTAAGTACCAGAGGGATTTTGGAATGAAAAAGATTCTTAGGTGCCGGATCTGTAGTTTGGAAAAGATGCTGCTCCTGCAGGATCTGATTTTATTTCAAATTGCTAGGATTTGTAGAATATAGAGAAATGCAGAATTTGACATTAGTAGCTATAGTTGGTCTTATCTTGCTCCTGTTCTGTGGAGGGCTTATGTTCATCTTCACACACGGAATAATCCAAAGGCTTCTGTGGGGCGCATACATAAGATACTATAAGATAGATATTTAATAACTTTATACTGTTCAGTGGTTATATGATTTGAAGTCTTCTTGACACATATACACTATCCAATTACCAAATACAATTGTATATGCAATATACTTCAATATATTGTTGTTCTTCATTACATCTACCCAAAACATGACAATTTTAAAAATAGGAGTCTAAAGGGCTTTTTAGGTTCCTGGTCTTTCCTTTTGCCGTAGTTCTTAAGTCTTTCCAGGTACAAAAGTTTTTCAACTATTTGTAATTGAATAAACTGAAAAAGGCTGTGTACACAGAACAGGGTGACTCCCCGAACAGACAAGTCAAGGAGTCTGGGCATTTTAAAAGTATTTTGGAGGTTCATTGTTTCTTGGATGTCTGGAATGAGGCCCTGACACCCTGACCCTTTGGGAGAAAATGCATCTTTGCAAAGTCGCCGGAAGGCGTAAGAGAGGCTGCACTTTTCCCCCTTGTGTTATCCTTGCTTTTTGTTTGCATTTGCTGTTTCCCCTAGGAGATTGTTGACTGGTTCAATGCTATTCGGGCAGCACGTTACCATTACCTGAGAACCACTTTTCCTGATGTTCCTGAGGCTGAGGTGAGAACCACCCAGGGCTTAAAGCAGCCTGTGCAAACACAGCAGGAGAAATCATTTTCTCTGGGGCTAAAGCTGTGAGTTGGTGGCAGCAGCCTTGCCGTGTATGAAGCTGGCATAGGCTTGAATAAAACTACTCATTGATTCTGACTGTGTGATGGCCTCGGGTAAAAATGCATAGAAATGGTGGCAAACACACAAGCAAATGTAGTAACGCAGAGAGAGCCAACTTTAGAGATAATAATTCTGTAAGATTAACTTTGATAATTTCTGTTAGGAGACTGTGCTATTTTTTTCCCAGTTATTTGATATATATGAAGCTTTTTCTATCTGCACAGCTAGATATAGATGAATTTTGGATAAAAAAAGTCCAAATATTTTGGATAAAAAGACTCAAAACTTTGTCCCTCCTCCTGGTGGAGTTTGGATGTACAAGTTAAATCTTTGCTGTTTTTCAGAATATATTTGTGTTTAATTACACAAACTGTGATAACAAGAAAAGTGACACTAATCACTAAATAGTGAGTGAGCCTAAGGAATAGACAGAGGAGGTGGAAGGAATGGCTGCCCTGTAGATAACCTGCAAAAAAAGGAACTCTACATTCGGGCCATAAAGTCTCCATGTGATCCTTTTAAAGAGTAATCTGTGAAACAAAACAAACCCATTATGTTCCTTTTTATTTCAAACTTCCCTTTTACTGAGCAGTCAAAAAACCTCAGTCCCCAAAAGCTAAAATTGATGGTGATTGGCTTGAACGGAAACAGAACAGAAAAGTGAGAACGAAGGACGTGGCAGACATTTTTGTGTGCGTTTGTTCCCCTAGCTCATACCCAGGATTACAAGAGAATATACCAAAGAAGGATACATGGAGAAAACAGGACCAAAGGTATGTTCAGCTTACTTACTGGGCATTAAGCAAACAGGATTTTTCCAGTTGGAGAATATTTGATAATGCTGTGCTGATTAATAGAAAATTGTTGAGTGACTAATTGCTTTCTGGGTCAATGAAAGAGATTCAATTCTAGCCTATATTATCCTTGGAAATTATGTTTAATTTTGTGTGGAAAATAAGACAGGAAAGGGAGTCCTTTTGACTCCCCTTTGAGACTTGGTCTTTAAAGAGCTTCTACCATCTCCTTGCAGCAGAAGGAGGCCTTTAAGATGCGCTGGTTCAGCCTGGACTCTCAAGAGAGGATCCTGATTTACTTTAAAAATCCGCTGGTAAGAAAACTGTTCTTCACTGCTCCCCAGGTCCCTCCACGAGGTAGGCAGAGCTCTTGGCACTCTCTGCCAGTGGCTACACAAGCTCTTCAGCTCCTTTGTTGCTGGCTCTCTTTGGAGCTTAGCAATTTGGGAACTCTGGTCTTCTTAGTTTCTGCAAGGAAGATCCAAGTCTTAAAAATCACTATATCTACCATGAGCTGTTATAGCCCTCGCTCCCAGCTCATTGCAAGTGGGTATGTAGCATTAGGTGAATGCTAATAACAGGCTTGAGAGCCCCCCATTCCTAACACTGAATGCTTCCCAACACCTGACACATTTGACCCCAAGAATATCCTCCCGTGCCCCTCCTGAACACCCTTAAGCTCTGCACAGGCAGGTCCTCACTTCTTTCTTTGGAGAACAGCTGTGTAAAAAAGCTGTTGTGTTTCCTGCTACTTGTCATCAGAGCTACGTCTGCTCCATGGTTCCCCGTTCCTGCTCCACCTCAAAGGACAGAACAGTGGCTGCTGGAGCCACGCTGTCGGCTGGCTAATGGGTGTCTTCTGGTTCCTTCTTTCTAGGATGCATTCGAACAGGGCCGTGTTTATATTGGAAGTGCAGCTGAGGGGTATGAAGTACGAGATGGCTTTCCCCAGGGAGTCCAGGTGAAGAAGAGGAAACCAGGGATCACTGTGGTGACACCAACGAGGGAGTTTGTGTTTATGTGTGATAATGACAGTGATCAGAGGGAGTGGATAGATGCTTTGAATGGAGTCCTTGCCCAGCCTTTGACTGGCTAAGATGAGCACAGAATTCCAGTGAACTGCACTTTTGGGTTCTTTCCAGCACTGCTCTGTGACCTCCTTCTGCTGGCGAGGATGGTGCTCAAGGCCCTGCACAAAGGACTTCTTCCTTGAACAGCTGCAGGCACAGAGGAGGCAGAGAAATGAGTAAGAGGGAGATACAGAGGTTTGGAAAGGATCTTTTCCCTGCAGAACCTTGCATGAAGTGTCTTCTCCCTTCCCTTCTCTGTTTTTGAGAGGAGGCAGCCTTCCTCGCCTGATGTAGGATGAACTAGGCTGTGTTGTCTTATGGAAAAAGGAACAAGGTCAGCCAGAAGTTCTGACTGCAGGAGAGACTGAGCCTTGTAGGTGCTCTTATTACCAGATCCTCCCTTCTGGCTTTGGTCTGAGGTCAGAAGAGTACTCTTATGCATCCCATAGGATGTATTTGATAATCCAGCCCATGGCATGTATCCTGCTCATGAATGTGGTCATCTGTTATACAAGTACATAAAGCCAGTGACAAGAGGAAAAGCCATCACTACCAGGAGAATGCAGGTGTCCTGTCGAATAGGCCCGTGCTGGATGCACTGGACGGAGCAGAACCAAGCAGTGCCATGCACTGCTGCTGACACTAAGTGCGTGTAAAGCTGGGTGCCTCTGCTCTCCCTGCCCGCAGCTCCTCTCCACACAGTGATAGGGTCATTTTCAATGGGTTTAATGTTTTCTACAGTGTTATATTTCTGGTGCAGAAATTATTAAAATAAAAGTCATGTTCAAATTGCAGAGGATACTGTAATGGAATCAATCTGATGACAAATACACCTAGCTCCTTGGTTTGGGCAGTTTCTGCTATTTTACTCTTTTGTAAGTGGCAAGTCAGACATGTGAACACCATTTTTTTTTCCCAAAGCAACCCTAGACAGTGGCACCTCAGCCAAGACAGGATGAAGATCTGCTGATCTGTCCTAGTTCCTGGAAGTCTCTCTGAAGCTTTGGGTTCTAGATCCTCTTAATGAGTTGGTCTAATCCTCGCATTGAAAAGCAGAAGCTACTTTTAAACGTGTTATCTTCAGTGACCTGCTTGAAGATACTCAGTGAGAGTATCAGCACTGGCAAAGGGCAGTGAATACTCCCTGATCGGGTACCACTTAAACCATCCCATGCAGGAATCAGTGAAGATGGACACTCTGATAGAGTGCACTGATTTTTTTTCTTGCTGGATGGAGTACGAGGTTTGATTCTGCCAAGCAAATATCTATTTGACTCTTCTCTTTTAATACTGCCTTAGCTTGCAAATCAGGCGGAAGTCTTGCAAGCCAAGTTTCTGGTGAATCTGCTACCTCTTGCTGATGCTTGCCAGTCAGTCTGAAATGCCCAGAATAGTTTTCCTCTTGTACAGAAATGAGGAAGTTTGATATGTGCAGGGATCTGTGAGGGGGTTTTGCGTGTGTGTGTGCATGCAATAGTGTGGAAATTTTGTTTGAGCTGGATTTTCATTCTGCCTCTCAGCTGGCTCTTCACTGTCTAACCCCAAGCAATCTGCAGCAAGTTTTGCATGATAATATGCACCTGTAAACTCACCTATGTTGCCATTCTCCCCACACAACCTCTTTTCCAGCTCCTGGTGGTTCAGCAAATATTAACAACCTAATCGAGCAGCCACCAAAATCAGTAGCAAAGCACCTGCTGACTTGTATGAGAAACAATATCAGCTTTGCTTTGGTTTTGTGTATGTTAATTATTTTTTTGACATGAAGTTAGTAATGGAGGACAATGCTCGGAAGAGATTAGGCCACCTAATGGATGAACTTCCTGGATGGGCCAGTGCTGGTCTTGCTGAGCTGTGGTGTTTGCTCTCGGGACGGGTCAGTAGGCCAGTCCTGTCAGCAGCTCTGCTGTGACTTTGTTATGAAATCAGGAAGCTCCATGAGAACATGAAAGTGTGAAGATGCAACAACTTTTGGAGGAGAGTCAGAAGAAGTCTCAAGGCTGGGTCATGGAGCACTCTGCATGATGGTTCCAGAAGCTTCCAGAAGAAGGGAGTGTGCTGAAGGGCCATGCTCTAAACCTTCCGCTGTGCCGCCTCTGCCGGAGCCTCCCAGCACACTTGTGCTCTGTTGCCTGTGGACTGGACAATCCTGGCTCAGTTGTGTGGCCCAGCTCCACTGGGGGAGGATCCATCTCCTCTGCAGCCCAGCGGCCTCTCTACAGAGCCAGCATCCAAAAAGAGGCACCATTCTGGTGTATCCTCTGCTCTGTCCCTTTTCTCTTGCGAGGGACATGCTATCCCTGCCATCCTGTTATTGCCTTCCAGCTCTGGTACATGGGCGCCTCCGGGAAGGCAGCAAGAGACGCCTGCAGGAACCGAAACTGAAGTAGCAGGGGGGCCATGGCAGCTCCAGGCAGTCCTGGACCTGATCAGCCTCTGCAGTGGCCTCTAGTGTCGGTGTCTGGCATCCCTCACCTCGAGCACTTGAGCATCCCGGAGGACACAGGACTGTCTGTCCTTTCCGTCCTCTTTCCTAAATGTCTTTAAGCAGTGTTATTTATTGCACAGTGTTAGCACTGGAAATATCTAAACAAAATATTATTTGAACAGTGCTAGAGCTCCACCTAGCCAAGTGGCTCAAAATGGGTTGGTTCATTATGTAGATGTCTGCTTAAACAGAGAGAGGGGAAAAAAAAAAGCTTTAAAAAGCCCCCAAATTATGATGGACTACATAAGCAAAATCTGATTGTTAACTCTCACTTTAGCACTGTACACATATGTGTATACACAAAAGATTAGCTTGAGTTACCTTTTGTTTCCACATCCACCTGGAGACACATGACTAGCTCCAGCCCAGAGTCCCTGAAAGAATGCATTAGAGGAGGCAGTAGATTCTCATACGTCTTTTCTACAGACACAGAGAACTTCATATTTTCTGCCTTCCAGGAATATACATCTCAGATCAAAAATCAGATTACTAAAGCTTTCTGTTGCATGAAGGAATACATTGAAAGGCAGGAGAGAAGCACACTGATGTTCATTGGCAACAGCAACAAACAACTTGACAGAAAACTGAAGAGACTATGGAGACCAGCTCTGTGCTGAAGCGCAGACATTACGCCCAAACAGAGAAAGGACTGGTCAGGAATGAAATGAAGTGGCTGAATGCAGGCAGAAACTCTTGAGCTAAACCTCTTGAAAGGCTGAAGAGGTACAGAGTGTTTTCAGTTGTCCATTGCACTATTCTGACTGGAGACAATGATACTAATCCACCAATGCCACTGCCACCAGTGAAAGCTTTCTGGAGAGAGGAGAAAACTTCTTTTCTTTCTTTTTTTTTAATAAACAAAATCTGTCAAGGGTTCTCAAAAGAGGCAGTAAAAACACTTCTAATTCTGCAGAGTTCATTTCGATGTGGAAGACTAGGATTAATGACGTTAATTAGCTCATGGGAATTTGGAGTAGGGCTCACCTGGTATGGAAGTGCTAGGAGGCAGAAGTGGGTTTGCCAAGCAAGGCTCAGAGGCTGGTGTTGGAATTCATCTTGTGCAACTTTACATATTTACATCTAATCTAGACTTGCATTATAAGTGATTAAGAGAAACAGGTACTTTTGGAATATGAGTCATTTGTCCTACTTGAGACTTCTACCATCAGATGAAAGCTTTCAAAATGCCTGCTTCTTTGTACAGACTAAAGGAAGACTGAGAGGACAGGCTCTGATGAAGATCACCATGGATTTTGAGTGCAGGAATTGAGGATTTTAGAGAGATCACTGCTGCTTTTCTACTCTGGCCTTACAGTATCACCTGATATGCTTGATGAAGTAACTGCAATTGTTTACATCTCCTGCCTTGATTCTTGTTCCATGTGTTTACTAGGGTAGCTTACCTGAGGGAGAGAGGTACAAAGGCTGGCCTTTAACAAGGGATAAAATCACACTTGATGAGGAAAGATTAATGTTGGCACAAGTGCTGTAGTTAAGTCCCAAGGTTAAGAAACAATTGTAAATGCTACAATGGGAGAAATACCCTTGGCCGTTCGCACCAGGTGAGTTTTTGGAAATCTATTGTTTTACGTGAGGGAGTTGATGCAGTTGATCAAGGGTTCTGCATATGGCCCCTCCACTTCACTCTATACCTTCCTTGTAAGGCTGCAGTATATAGCAATACACTGTTTTGTCTTGCTATGCACTGAAGATTTGTAGGAGAGTCAGGACAGTTTTCCCCTTCCCATCCTTCCCATCACTACTTGCCTTTCCCAAGTACAGGGATATCTCAGTGCTTAGTAATCACAGCTCAGAACAGGAAAATAATGTTTCCTAGATATCCCTCTAATTATGAACCATCACTCGAGAGATCCTGCAACAGCCAAGTGATGTGTTCTCAGAGCTTCTCTACTTGGTACCGCTACTGGGAAGTAATTATCAAAGACAGTGATGGATGGGCTGTGAGAGCTGTTCATGAAATGAGTGGTAAAAGAGATAAATTGGAAAGACTAGTGCGTTTCTAGTGTGTGGAAGGTTCCCCAAAGCAGCTGTCAGCATGACATAGGGGTCAAGAGACATCATTGAACGAGAAGCCCCTGAAGGCGGGAGTTTCCCTTAGGTGCCGCAGAGCGGCGCGATGTCTCCCCGCGTCGCCTCAGGGCCGCGCGCGCTCCCGCCGCCTTTGGGCGCGCGCACGCAGGCGCGCGGGCTCCGCGCTCACTAGGCTGTCCCTCTGGCGCCGCCGTAGCTCGCCCGCGCCGGGGCGAAGGAGGCGGCGGCGCGCGGGGGGTCGCGGCGCGCGGGGTTCTCAGGCCGCAGCGGCGCCGCTTCCCGCACAGCCCCATGTGAGCGCCCCGCGCCGGGGCCAGCGAGCGCGGCCATGAAGAAGGACGTGAGGATCCTGCTCGTTGGGGAACGTGAGTGCGGGGGCGCTCGCGCCGGCCCACGGCGGGGCAGGGGTGTCAGAAGGCGCTGCAGGACGGCCCGGCCCGGTCCCCGCGCCCCGGAGCGCCCGCCGCCTTGGGGCGCCTCCTCCGGCCCGGCCTGGCCTGGCCCGGCCCTGCGCGGAGGGGAAGGGAGGGGAGCGGGCGGCCCTGGCCCCGCCGCCTGGCCGCTCTGCGTGGTCCTTCCCTCCGTGGAGGAAGGATCTGCGGAATCCATGGAGCCGTAGAGGTGGATCCGGGAGGCAAATTCCTGTTCCCAGCTTGGTCACGGGCTGACAGCCCTTTCCTCCCCACCTTTTCCTTTTCTTTTTTCTTCTTCTTATTTTTTTTTCCTCCCTCAGCCAAGATTTAGTCATTCTTTTATGCCGAGGTAGGAAATCCCAAACACTCCAGGCACTGGGCAGTTGTAGTTAGCCTGCGGCCTGGGAGCATTAACTTGATGTATGACCTTGGGTAACTACGTGCTTGTGCACATGCCAAAGTTGTAACGAGCTTTTGTTGTCGTTTAATGTGTCCGTAAAAATATGCCCTGAAGTTCTTACTTAGGTATCCAAATCAGAAACAGGTTTTCAAAGGTACAGGTTTTAGAGGAGCTTCTGTTTTCCTAGTTTGTAAAGGGCTCTTAGGCACCTGGCAGGAAAAGGGTGTAAAGTAATTGCAACTGTTATTAGTAAAAATAGCTGATCATGCTAAGAAGATGACCCTACTCACAAAGCATCCTTGCGAGTTGAATACATAAGGTATTTCTAACACAGTTCATGAAACTGTTACCGTGGGGGTTGCTTGTGTCTATACCCTCTAAAGAGATTCTCTCTGTCTTCCTAAAAGAGTTACTGCCTTTAAAGGCAGTTACTATGTTACTATGTAGGGAAGGAGAGTTGAACTTGTAAAACTTCTGTTTGACTCGTTTCACAAGACCACAAGTTTCAGCTTATTTAGAAATGATTTGTGCATTTGAACATGCACCTGAATTCCTTTTTGAAACGTATGCCTAATCTACTTTACTGTCTTTGGCAATGAGTTCAGGGATGCTTGTATCAGAATTATATTTATTGGACAGACTGATTGCTTACAGTCAATACTGCTTAAAATTGGAGTCTGTGCTTGTTACTTAATAGATCTTTTGTTTAATTGAAAGTCAGTTTGTTTTCTGTATAGTTAGAATGTTGAAATTGTTTGTATGTGTGTATATATGTGCATATGCATACATATTTATGCCAATTAAGTAGTAAATGGGAGGAAGAGATCACATAAAGTCGTTTGAATTAAGAAATGTCAAAATGCCAGACTTAGTATTTTCTAGCTGCAGAATAAGTGTTAAAGGAAGGAAAGGTCTGAAATGAAAAACTACCACAAAAAGTAGCCGCCTTTTAGATACAATTTAGTGTCCCATATGAACACTGAGAATTTAGGTAGTGTATTGTAGGGGAAAGAAGAGCATTTCAAAATCACTGTGTAGAAGACTGGTGTGTTCTGAACTGGTTTAGGTCAGTAGTTTACCTAAAGGTATTGACAGATTTGTGTTCATTTGGCAGCTGAGCGTGTAATGTGTCCTACTGGGTAAATTTCATCTGCTATGTAGACTTTATGTATGGCAGCCCACAGTATAGGTACATATCAGGGATTGTGAGCATCATTATACTATATTTCTACTGGAGCTGTAATGAAGAGAAAGGGGAAATTTTTTTTTTTGGTGTCAATATAACTGCTAGAGTTTGATAGCAGTCTGTCAGCTTCAGACTCTGAAATAATATGGGAAATCCTTTTGATGTAAGCCTGTCTCAAAACTTTGCTTTCTTCATCCCCAGTGGTTTTCATGTTCGATTTATGGTTATTTTAATTCCAGTATCCAGGGTGCAAGCACCAATTTCTAATAAAACGCTAATTTTCGGAAAATGTCTAGCATGCTCTTTTTGTCTGTCATGATCCAAAATGCTTCTGTATATGAGGGAAAAGAGAAGCCCAGTTAATCATCAGAAAATGCTGTGCTGTCTTTTCATCCCACCCAGTTGATACTGTTTAGACTGTTATTTCCAAGACTATAAACAGAATTGGAAAGGCAAATGACTGACCTAGATTCAAGCAAAATAAACCTCGTGTCTACCCTTCAACCCATGGTCTTTCGTAGCAACAACACTAGAACACTTGCTCTGAACTAAGTATTGAGGAAAAAAATCATAACAAATTGTCTTCAGTAGTGTATTTTCCTAGAACGCCTCAAAAATAATCTACTAGAAAGCCTTCACAGGTCAGCAGTTTGGGTTTGATTTGTATGTGTGTGAAGTTTAAGCATCAGTTCCTGATCCTGTAGTCTCTAGAAGTCCTGTCCATCCAAGATCCTTGTGTCTTGGCTGGTGCAGGTTGCCTTTAGTCATGCCAGCAAGTTGCTCTAGTTTCCTGCTTGTTGCTTAAATTTAAACTCACGGACAGTTCTTTGTATTTTGACCTTCCTGCTCCATGAACAATTGTATTGCCTATCTATGTCCGGAAGGGTCTTAAGGAATGTAACATAAAGCCCAGAATTATGACTTAGTACTAATCATGACTAGAAGATCACATCAGTTTAGCCCTCAGCCTGAGTGTTGTTTGAATTCAGCAGAACTTAGTATTGTGCAGTATATATGAGTTGATTTATAGACCTTCAAAACTAAAGACTGTTACTTAGCACTCTTTACTGCAAATTGCAGTCACTTCTGTTGACTGAAGCTGTGTTTCCAAAAGGTGTTGGCCTTAGCTAAATATATGCACACATCAAGTGGAAGATGATTAAATGATAGTTGCGGGACTGGGGAGTGGAGACTTGTCCGTACTTTCCCACTTATGCAGTTATGTGTGTATTTTGGATTATTTGTTGGGATAATGGAGGAGGAGATGCAACATCTGGGTCAGTAAAACGCACATGGTAGAGATGATGTTATCTGACCAGGATGAAATAGTTTTCGCTTGAATTGCGCTGAATTCAAGCAGAAGATACAGCCCCAGATAAGATTTGAATCCATTTTGATATTTTTATTTTAAAGAAATGGGTCACAAACAATTAAAGCAGTAATAGTCTTTCAAGGCTTTCCAAAGAACAGGAAACAGGCAGATGAGGACTTCCGGGATAGAAGTACCCTGAACAAACTTACTAACTTAATTCAAAGATGCTCAAAGCCAGGAAATGCAGTGAGGTAGCCAGAGTTCCTAACTTTGAAGGTATACTGAGCTATTTGCTTGAACAGAGCTGCGTATTGTTCTGCTTTTTGGATTAAAAAGAAAGAAATAAAAAGTGCCTTTAGAAGTTTTCCACTTTCTTTTTGGGAAAAGCTCATTTGTACCACAGGAGACTGCTCTTGTTGCATTTCTGAAGTGGTCCGGTTACTTTGTGGAGACTTTGTTCAGTGATGATAGATCCATGTCTTTCAGCTCTTAATCATTGATAGTTTGGGTATGAGGCCTAATAATGGTATCAAGAATAATATAAGAACAGTTAATTATTAAGTTCCTGCCTGTATGCTTTCTTTGTAACTGTTAAGGTCTGCTAGTGCATTTCTAGTTTGTTTTGGTTGGCTTTGTTGCATAAGTATTCTGCATTAAGGTAAATTCTGCTGGTTATTTTCCCTAAGACTGAACAAGATTCGACTCACTCTTTTTACAAAAGGTTGAAGGATTAAATGGGATCTAAAGTTTTACAATAAATCAGTTGGAAAATATTTAAAAAATATTTTCCACTTTAAGGTGGGATGCAACTGTTAAGTGTAACAAAACCAAATCACTTAATCTATTTTTTCTATCTTTTACAGCTAGAGTTGGAAAGACATCACTAATTATGTCACTTGTCAGTGAAGAATTTCCAGAAGAGGTAGAACATCCTTATTTGTTTTTAAAATATTATTTCTGTCCTGTGTTTTTTTCTTATTTTTCTTCTTCCCCAAAAGATAACTTCATAGGCTCCACCTTAAAATAACTTTGTCTATTTAAAAAAAAAAAAGGAAATTAAAACAATGAGGATTTCGCCTTTCACATTTTTCACAAAATGTAGAAGAGCTACTTCTATATTTTATTCCTTTATAAAAAGCAGCACAGTTCTCTTCATGCCATGATGTGTCTGCAACTGCTGCAAATAGTTAAGATTTTTACATATAAACATGAATGTTTATTTCTTCTGATCACAAGCCTTAAAATAGCCATCATGTGCTGCTCTTTGAAATTACAGTGCCTTATGTTTAATGCAAAGCAGTAGGTTACCACAGCTCCTGATGCACCTAGTGCACTAACAAGCCTCTCTCAGCCTGGTGACTTATTTGTTATGTAGGGTTATAAGGTGTTTTCATAAGACTTTTATTTATATAGCATTTTCTTTTAAGATAATTTACAATTGAGTTTTTTTTTCCTGTAGTTTTCTGTGTTTTAATGGTTCTGGCAGGTGTGTATTGGATTGAATTTTATTGAAGCATTCATTGAATCCCTTAAAAATGCTGCTTTCTTGCATAATATTCAGGAAATCACTTATGCAGCAAGTATTCTATTAAATAACAAGAAAGTTGCAGTGACTTTCAAGCACAGCAAAAAGCAGCATTTAAGCTATTAATAAACTCTTCTGTTCTAAACCATCTAAAACTAATCATCAGATAAGTTGCAGCGATTATCTTTTAAAGTTTTTCTTGCTGTTTGTTTACAACCCAAGGTTCCACCTCGTGCTGAAGAAATCACCATTCCAGCTGATGTTACCCCTGAAAGAGTGCCAACCCACATAGTGGATTATTCAGGTAGAAGGACTGCAGAGTACGATTAAGGTTTGACTGAAGTGGTGTGGATTTGCTGATCTAACTCAATAGCCTCTTTAGTGGTAATATTGGTATGGGACCAAAGCTGCGTGTAGGAAAACACTAGTTGGAAGCTGAAACTCCTGGGATAAAATCAAGC